TGTTAATGTAGCTGATTTATGGAAGTTTACTCCACTACATGAAGCAGCTTCTAAAGGAAAATTTGAAATCTGTAAATTATTATTAAAAGTAAGTGTTTTTAAGGTTTATTCTTTACTCTATGGAGATAGTAAATATCTTACATGACTGTGACCTATGACCCCTGGCAGTGGTGGGTTGCTGTATTGGTACATTGAAACATGATCTGTGCGTCATGAAGAAGATCATTTATCATTTATGTGTATACCTCAACATATTGGCCTTGTATTGTTAAATGAGTTATAATTAGTTAGAGTTGATGAAATGATATTCATGTTACTTGACTTTTTTCTTATCAATTCTATCGAATGAAGTCATATCAAAATCATTAATTGTTTCCATCTATCTTAATATATGGATCTTTATTTTTTTTTTATTCAGCATGGAGCAGACGCAAACAAAAAGAACCGTGATAGTCACACACCAATAGATCTAGTCAAAGAAGGAGATCAAGATGTCGGTGATCTGCTTCGAGGTAAGCATCAATTAATTCTGATAGCAATATAGCAGTGGTTTCCACACTTTCTCAGCCTTCACATCGTTAAAGCAATCATGTGGACCTTTCACACCCCCTAAAATTTGTTTCAAGTTTGCTTATTGTCCATTTAAAGGGACACTGACTGCAATCATATGATCACCCAAAATATTTTGTCAAGTTAGTTTATCAAACTTTTAATAGTTGATCTAGGGCAGTGGATCCCAACCTTTCTCAGTCTTCACACCCCTGGAGCAATCACCTTGACCTTTCACACCCCCTAAAATTTGTTTCATCCACATTTGCAGCATGTGTTGATGTGAGGTGCTCTCTCAATTCAAAACAAATTCTACTCCTACACCAGTTGTCCACACCCATGACACCCTAGTCCCACCATAGTCCCACCCTAGTGAAAACACCCCAGGTTGGGAACCGGGGCAATTTAGGAATATTTCTAATATTTCACTCCAGGAATCTTAAAAACTCTCTCCTTATATCAAGACAGTAATCTCATGTATATACAACTATGTTATTAAAGATATTGTCGGAAGATTTTCTTTAATTTTGTTTGTCTATTATGACGACTGATAGCATCAATTTGCATCATTTCAATTTTCAATCAGACGCCTGTGGCTCATGCAATACCATGAAAATAAGCTAATTGAAAGAAACGCAGACATCTGAATGAAACATTGAATGGTTTGTTTTATATTCTGACCTTTTTTTGAAGGTGATGCTGCATTATTGGAAGCAGCTAAGAAAGGGAACCTGGCTCGTGTTCAGAAACTGGCCACACCAGAAAATATCAACTGCCGTGATACCCAGGGTCGAAATTCAACTCCACTTCATCTTGCTGGTAAGACTCACTTCTAGTTATACAGCCTTCTCAGTGACCAGTCTGACAATATCAAGGTGCCGAATAGCCTAATGCTGACAATCTTGATTTATTGTAATTCTAGATTGTGAGACAATTTTTTCAAACTAACTGATAATCTTAATGTTATAGGCTATTTTCAGTTAAAAACTTTTGTAGTTTAAGAGACATTTTTTGCAAACTTAGCATTGCATTTGTTCAAATGAAAACTTTTCTTACATTTCTGATAACTGTCATAGTGGAGGAACAAAGTATGCAATTCACTTAATATAGGCTTGTTGACAGTGTTAAAGACTTATGGTAGAAAACTTGAATGAACAATTGACAATTGGAAGTATTTATCTTTATATTCACTCAGAATGTAAACAATTGTTGTTGTATTAGGATGCAGAAATATG